GCCGTGAGAGAGCGAGCGTGACACGAGGAGCTATTTGTTCAATCAATGATTTACCAGATGTGTACACTGTACTAAAGGCTTGTAAACATACTTTAATGGCCAGCTGTAAATCCGGGCAGTAGCAGTGCCAGATTCATGTCCATCAGATGTGTCTTAGGAACAGCAGAGGAAGGGCTCTGAATCACTTTGTTATAGGCTGTGTCAGCTCTGCAATTGTGCATGTAAATCAAAGGACCAGCGTCCTCAGGTCGGAGTTATTTGAGTGTCAGGAGAGGTTTTATGACCAGCAGCTTCTCCTTCTCTGGGTTCCCTGCAGTTCCTTGTCTTCCAGAGCAGCATCTCCAGAACTCTGGGTTCCTGTCCCAGTGCCCCAAGTGCGTGGCTGTGTTTTCCCTGACTGTGCTGGAAGTCTCTTTTGTTAATCACTGAAGCACAGCGTCATTAGGGAGAAGTGCAGAGTGTACACAAAGAGGAACTTGCCAAATTACTAATAAGCAGAAACTCCATCCATCTTAATGAGACAGGGTTAAGAAAATAGCAACCTAGAATATACACAATGGAGATTTTCCAAGCTGTTTATTTACTCCTGCTAGACAGTAATTCTGAGCTCCATCTCTGGTCCTGCTTGGAGATTGTCACATGTTTTCCAAACCACAGGCTTCTTATGCTCTTGCAAATCATTAAGCATGAGAAAGATAAATAAATGAGTGGACGGATGGCTCAAAAATTATTAGAGGTAAGAGGGCAAATGGGATTGCTGCAGAGTGAGAGCACGAGGAGGTGTTTCCTCGTGGTGGGCAGGTCTCCAGCTCCCTTCCTTTGGGGTCCTCACCAAAGCAGCTGAGGGACCCCACGTGCTCAGGCACCACAGGGCTGCTCTGGGGCTGAGGCTCCCACCAGCCCAGCCGTGGGATTTAGAGCTCCCCGGTGACCTGCAGCACTTCCCTGGGTTCCTCTGGCAGCCTGGAAGGGGTCTGCACCCACGCTGAGGTGCCTGCACACCTGTGCTCCCCAGCCACATTTTTCTTTTGTTGGGTAAGGAGTGACTCGCAGCCCCTCTCACGTGCACAGCTCGGCTGCTGCGGTTTTATTGAACGCCGGCACTCGCTGGATGTTATTCAGGCAAACTTTATATGTGCCACAGACCCTCTGAGCAGCCTGCACCTGGTCCAGGGCAAAGCTGAGCCTCACGGAGAAGAATGTGCTGCAATGCAGCAAGTTATTACAGGATAAATATTTATAAGCCCCTGTAAACATTTGCCGTGGGTTCCCTCCTGGGACTGGGGGCAGACGCTCAGAGTCTCAGCAGTGCTGAAGGCATCAGCTCTTGTAGTTCTTTCCATGTTATCTCAGCCAGTAAACCCATTGCTGATCCTGGATGGTTATAGCATTTAATGGTGCTAATTTCACACTCACACGAGACAGCGGCTGGAGTTGTTGCAGGCCTTGATCCTGGCCCTGCTCTTGCTGGGGGTGTCCCCTGCAGCCCCAGGGGTGCTGGGCACCTGGCCAGGGTGCCTCAGTGGGTCCCCACAGCTGCAAAACCTTCCCTCCCCGTGGGAGCTGCATCGGGGTTGTTGGAGCCTCGGAGCTGAGAGAGGCAGAAAACAAACACGGCTAAACCAACATCCTCCTGGGGCTGACCCCGGCAGGGGCTGTCAGCTCTGGGCTGAGGGGGGCTAATCTAAAGCAAATATTCCCTGGAGGTGCCCTGGAGCTGTCCTGCCACGGCAGGCTCTCCATGAAGGGACGTGGAGGGTGGGTGCCTGCCCTGGCACTCCCATCCCCTCCCTGCCAAGGGCAGCCCGAGCCCAGTTGGGCTCATCACCCCACCCCTGCTGCCTCTGTCGGGGAGGAGAGGGGGCGAACGCAGGGCTGGGAAACCGGGGAAGAAATGCCAGGGCGGGCAAGGCCGTGACTCCTCCGTGCCCTCCAACGCTGCAGTAAAACAATGAGCCCTGGGCAACGGCGCTGCTTGCACGGGACTATTTGGGGGCTTCCCTTTGCTGCTCATGCACGAAAGGCAGTCATTTGGCAAAAATCAGCTCAGTTAGCAGGCATTGTTCGTAAAGAGCCGGGGCCTGAATGGGCTCAGGGCTAATATATTCTATTATCCCACGCCTGCCTGTTTCCCCGGGGCAGCGCGGAGGGAAAGGCGCATTCCAGAGCGTGGAATGCTGTGCCCAGAGCGGGCAGGGAGGGTGGGACAGGCGGGAGGGCACCGCTGCCAGCGGCACGGGGACACCTCGGCCACCACCCGCCCTGTCACCTGCCCCAGGTGAGGGTGGAGCAGAGCGGGATGCTGATGCTGAGCTGCGGATGCTGATGCTGAGCTGCGGATGCTGATGCTGAGCTGCGGGAGGGGCGGGCGGAGCGCCTGGTCCCGCGGCTGCCAGGACAAACAATGGAGCCGGGAATAGGCACTTGTTAATTGGGCTGGGCTTTTCACAGGGCAGGAGAGGTCTGGGGACAGCCAGAATGGTGCGTGGTGCAAAGCCTCTCGTTATTCAGTAAGAAAATGTTAGCCCCTGTGGGAGAGGCAGCAATAAATGGCTGTAAAGTGAGGTTAAATGATGACATTAGAGACTAGGCAGAGATTTAAGAAGCAGTAATTAAGATTAAAGAGATTGAGATTTAAGAAGCAGTAAAGGGCTACATAATTATGAAGGGAGGTGGCTGTGCAGGCTTCACTCAGAAAAGTCCGTGCCCAATTTGGAAGGGGTTTGTTGAAAGAGCAGCCCTTACTGGGCAGCTGCTCTCTAAGAGGTCTTATACTGTGTGTTAAGAAATTTAGTGGCCTAGACCAGAGCTGTTAACTTTTTCTTTTTTTGTTTTTTGTTTTTTTTTCCCCTTCTCCCTTTTTTCTTCTTTTTTTTTTTTTTTAAGAAAAAATGGTTTGCTGGCAACTGTATTTGCTGGTCAATTGTATTTCAGTTCACAGTTTGCTCTTGGATTCCCATCCAGGCGCTGCTGCCATGAGTGTGGGTATCAGCCACAGAGGAGAGAAGGCAGCCAGCAAAGACCTTCCCTGGGCCGAGTTCAAGAGCCGTGCAGGCCGTGAGTGTGGTCGGGTTTGGCAGCCAAGGCATTCCCAACTGGAGCTTTCCCGCTTGGATCAGGGGCAGTGAGCTGTGGCAGGCTCAGCAGCCACTGTCCAGCATGTCAGGGCTGCAGCCAAGCCCACTAATCCGTGTGGGATGCCCCAGGGCACACGTCCCTGCAGGGATCTGACAGGACATTTACCTGCTGCCACATGGCATTTGCTGACCCACAGGTAGCTGGAACCCTGACTGCAGTTTTATGGCAGTGTTGCTGCTCTGGCCTTTGCAGAGCTCCCCAACTTTCCAACAAGAGTTTCCCCACCTGGCCTTCCTACCCATGATGTCCCTGTCACACTCCTCAGCCTGGAACAGGATGGTAGCACTGCCAGAGACAAATGCCTGTTGCTGCTCTGCAAATGGAGAGCAAGACCTTGCCATGGAAAATGGAGAGTCACTGGAGGAGTTTGATTCCCGACCAGTGTCCAGGAGGTAACACTTGGGTGCAAATAAAGATGCTCTAACAAAGCCTCGAGCAGATCAGTGCCCTGTTCCATGTTCCATGTTACACCTGGCTCCTGGGACACGGCACTGCGTTCTCGAAATGAAGTGTTTCAGTGTCTCTAAACTGGTTTTGGTGAAAGCAAATTCTATGCAAAGTTCCTTTTGCAGTTGTTTCTCGGTGCAAACAGTGGTCAGTGCTTTGCCAACATTTCCTGAGCCCCAGCAGCAGGAGGGGACCTGCTCCATCCAACTGCTTATTTCACTCTGCTGCAGCCTCCTTAGGGCAGGGACGTCTCCTGTTAATGCTGAATTCTTCACTTCATTAGTGGTGCAAACTGGCTGCTCTCTCGTGCCGGCCCTCAGGTGAAAGTGGCTCTTTCAGGCTTCCAGGCTTCAGAGCCTCTTCCATTTACCTCTCAATGAGGTGTAGTTCCTGTATTAAATGGCACAAGCTGTTTGAGCCAAAGGCAGCAGCAGGAACAGGAGCTTCGGAGGAGTCCGGAGGAGGGAGCTCAGGAGAGCCAGTGGAGAGCTCAGGAGAGCTCCCTGGCACAGGGACGGGTGGGCAGAGCTGCTCAAAGGCCAGAGGGCTGAGCCGGCTGCTCCCGCCCGGCTTGTGCCCAGGGATGCTCTGCTCTGCCCCGGAGCACCTGCACTGGCACCCGGGTGGGCTCATGGCCACGGTCCCCCGTGTGCCCAGCTCCTGGTTTTGGGGGGCAGTGAGGCTTTGGGGGCCCCGGGGAGCGCGGCAGGGCGAGCAGGGGGAGTGCAGCTCCTGCTGTTCCCAGGCGCGGTACCGCTTTAAGGAACAGACCCTCTTTCTCTCTCCTGTTTTTTTTTTTTTCCCCTTCTTTCCAAATACCACAGTTTCTGTTGGAATTTGTCCACGGGGAAATGAGGTTTGCGCGGCCCAGTCCAGGTTCACAGAAACATCTGCAACCTTGGAACGGGGCGCTCGGGAGCGCCGGGACCTCCCAGAGCCGCCCGGGCACGGGGCTCGGGGCCGCCCACCGGAGAAGCGCCCGAGCGGTGCTGCGGGGTGAGCTCGGGGG